GATTGACTGGATTGGGAAAAATGCAGATCAGAAGTTTAAGGCAGGGTTGTTAGCTGAAGAAGCGTGGAATCCACTCCCCAGCGCGCCTGCGGAATTGCCTCCTTGATGGTTTCCTTTTTAGTTTGACTTATATTTTTTTCAGCCAAAAGATAATATATTTGTGTGGGGGAAATTGAAAATAAGATTTTAAAAAAGCAAGCCTCCATACAACCCTAGTTCCTTTCTGAAAGCGATTTGCCATTTGTTTTTTGTTTTTGTTTTTTTTGTTTTGTTTTTCTCCTAGAAGTTTTTAAGGCATGCAGCTGCTGTCATGGGAACTAGACCTTGGGCCTCGCTTGGTATCTACCTAGTGGATGTACCTTACTCCTTTTCATCACTGTCCATTTAAACGAAATCACGACAAAATTTCCATCACAGAGGCACAGACCTTTTCTAGCTCCCCAATAGAACTGCTTGCTTCCTTTTTCAGGTTGTCTCCGCCCCCATCCCCTTCTGTTTTATTTAATTCTGACAATGCCACCATGAATTTTCTTGTATATCCTTTCCCCACCAATGTGAGTCTGTCTCTAATGTAACTTCCCATGAGTGAGCTTACTAGGCCAAAGGGCCGGAACAGCCTGGGTTTATGGGTAGGTATTGCCTGCTTCCCTTCCTGGGAGGCTGCCTGCCCTCTGTCTACTCCCACAAGGAGGCCAGTGTCAAAGTTTCTTGCTATAGTTCACAGTTGGATCAGAGTCAGGAAAGGAGCACTTGACCTGAGGCAGGGAAGCAGGCAGAAAGTTCCAGCAGTGAGGGATTTACCTGGAGATGTGGGATATGAACTCAGCTTAGGGTTAGGAATAAACAACTCAAAGCTCTTTGTTAAGCCCCCCCAAAAAACTTCTTTTTTTTTGAACTAGGTAATAAAGGCCTAGGATAGAGAATTCAAAAGATCAGTCGGTGAGGGACATCTCTAATAGTCACCTAGGAGCCACGTTTTTTTTTAAAATCCTTTTTTGTTGTTGTGAAATACATAATGCATAAGAAAGGTGTAGTTGAAAGACAAATACTACTTAGGGATATGGCAGCTGATTCCTGCCTGTGTGGCGTGTCTCTGTTGTGTTGAGCTGGATTCTAAACACTGAGGTCCTAGCTTCCTGAATACTTAGTGTTTGCCCGGTCAGATCCTGTGCCTGTGCTATCCAGTTAATCCTCGGACCAGCCATCCCTGGGTGTGAGTACTATCTGCGTTTTGTGGGTGAGGAGACTGGGCTGCGGAGGGGTTAACAGATTGACCGTGGACTCCGTTAATGAGTGGCAGATGTGCAGTGCCTGGCTTTTCAATGGCCTTGGACTTTGGAACTACTCAGGTAGGTGTCAGTAGGTTAATTATGTCTGGCAACAGATGGTGCTTTCAGTTCCCAACCTGTTCTTTTGACTAGGACAAGATTGGCTTCTGCTACAGAGTGAGATGAAGGGCGAGGTCTCAGTGTGGGGGAGGGGAACTTAGTATCGATCCCCCTTACACCAATCTACCTTCACTCCCTTGAAGGAGTGGAAAACAGCCATGCCCCGGGATCGAGGCGCTAATTCCCAAGCCCAGGAAGGAGCTTTTTTGACAAGACGTCTGTCTGCAAGAATGAGATTACAGAGTCAGAAGAGGAAGCAGGAATGTTGGGGCAGGGGTCAGGTTTATAAGTTAGACGTGTCGTAACTAGAGCTTTTATGGTCTGTCTCCTGTGTCTGCATCATGAGGCACCCAGGCTCAAAACCAGGGTCAAGCCGGGCGGTGGTGGCCCACGCCTTTAATCCCAGCACTCGGAAGGCAGAGGCAGGCAGAGGCAGGCAGATCTTTGTGAGTTCAAGGCCAGCCTGGTCTACAGAGCGAGATCCAGGAAAGGCGCAAAGCTACACAGAGAAACCCTGTCTGGAAAAACAAAACAAACAAACAAACAACAACAACAACAACAAAAACCGTGTCAGCGCCTACACTATATCCTCTTGGAAGAAACCTCCTACTCAGCCCCTTTCTTTACTGGCCAGGTAGTGCAGCGCTCCCAAAATCTCCTAGCCCTGGCTTCTCAGCCCTTGCTGGGTGCTCTGCCCATAGAAAATATGTGCAGACTATGTGTTAAACACATACAGGAAAGTTGATATGGTTCTGCACATGCTAGGCCCAGTGTAGTCTAGGTCACTCCTGGAGTAGGAAGCTCCATGCCTAGGACCAGGAGCATTCATTTCTTGCATATATACATGCAATGGAGTATCATACAGCTGTTAAAAAAAGCGAAATTATGTCATCTGCGGGAAGATGGAACTGGGAATTGTGAAATGAAATAAGTGATTCAAAAGGAAGATATTTGTTTTCTCTCTTATGTGGAATCTAGGTTGGTTTTTGTTTGTTTGGCTTTGTTTTTTGTTATTGTTTTGTTTGTTTGTTTTTTGAGACAGGGTTTCTGGCTGTCCTGGACTCACTCTGTTGAACCAGGCTGGCCTCAAACTCAGAGATCTACCTGCCTCTGCCTCCCAATTGCTGGGACCAAAGGTGTGTGCCACCACCGACTGGCTTTTTTTAAGGTAGAAAGTGGACCATTTGAGACGAGGAAGGCAATGGGGAAGGATTAAAAAGTAGGTAATAGCATTGGGGTGTGAATAGGATCAAAGCAGGTTTTAGGTGTGTATGGAAAAGTTGTTTATTTATTTGTGTATTTGGGTTTTTTGTTTGTTTGTTTTGTTTTTGTGGGGAGTGTTTTGTCTACTTGTATGTCTGTGTAGCACACAGCCCAGGTCTGGTGCTCATGGAGGCCAGGAGAGGGTTTTAGGTCTCTTGCGTATGTGGATGGTGGAACCGAACCTGAGGCCTCTGGATGAGCAGCCAGTTCTCTTAGCTGCCGAGCCATCTCTCCAGCACTTGAAGAGATCATAATGAAGGCCAAGTTTGGTGCACGCCTTTAGTCCCAGCCCTCAGGAGGCAGAGGCAGATGGACCTCTCTGAGTTCCAGGCCAGCCAGGGTGACAAGGTGAAACCCTATCTCAGCAACAACAAGGGACCAATTCTCAGCTCTGCCCCATCGGAACCTGGGGTCTGCTTGCTCTTTGGTCTGGTTTTGAGACAGCCTCTCACTGTGTGGCCCGTGCTAGCATTACAGGCTTGCATTGCCTCACTGGCTAACAATACTCTTTCTGGTGACTGGTGAGCATTTTTGCTGTGATACCCCAAGCAGCTCTCTTACCCCAGACCAACCCCAGTCCTTGTTCAGACCATGTCCAGAGCAATTAAATACATGTAAAAATATATTTAACAATATGTACCTATACATATGTATTCCTTATTTTGTATAAAGCAGAACAATCTCAAGAAACTCTTGCCTGAGCTAGGGGAAGAGACATGTATGAGATGAGGGAGACCTTTTTAGATTTTTTTTAAATGTTTATTTATTATTGAGATCTCTCTCACGTAGCCATGTGACTCGGGTTGGCCTTGAATTCTTGATCCTTCTGTCTCCACCTCCCAGGTCCTGGGATTACAGACATGGGCTTCTGAACCTGATGTTGATTTTAGATTTAAATGTCCTCCTACTTCTGTCTGATGAAATTTCTCTATATAGAGTAGCGCAGGTGGCCCCTACACTCTAACTGGGATTATAAGGCACCACTGCACACAGCATTTCATTTAAAAAACAACACACTGAGTTATCTTTATGTGTGAGCACAAGCGTGAGGTGGCCAGAGGTAGGCCAGTGACATCAGGTGTCCTTCTCTATTGATCTCTATCTTCTCCCTACCCCCACCCCCGTGTGTGTGTGTGTGTGTGTGTGTGTGTGTGTGTGTGTGTGTGTGTGTGTGTGTGTCTGTCTGTCTGTCTGTCTGTCTGTGTCTGCCTGTGCTTGCCATGTGTGAGTTTTGGAGGTCAGAGGACAGCTTATGGGAGCCACTTCGTTCTTTCCTTCCACCATTTCTGGTATCCAAACTCTGGCATCATCTGGTCAGCCTTGGTGGCTAACGACTTTAGTCATTGAGTCCTCTCACTGTGCCCCCGACCTCCCACAGCCCCCTTTTCTGAGAAAGGGTCTCTCACTTGGCTTGGAACTTGCCAATTAGGCTAGGCTGGCAGGCCAGTAAGTGCCAGGGATCCACCTGTCATTGATTCCTAGAAACTGTAGACAGGGTTTCATGGTGTAGCCCAGACTGGCCTTGAACTCACTGGTATCTGTTTGCCTCTGCCTCTGAGTGCTGGGATTAAAGGTGTGTGCCATTGCAAATGAGTTACATTCGCACTTAGCATGGCTACAAGCATAGTTCTGAGCAAATGAGAAATGTTTCAAATTTCTTTCCCTCCCGCTGTGCTATTGTTACATTAAGACTTCTAAAGGTCAGAATTTTAACGTTAATCAAATGGAGTTTCCTGTGGACCTGACAGCTACCACACCCATCTCTTGCTTTGTAAATATAGGTCCTGGGGATTGAGCCCCAGATCCAGTCCTTTACCAGCTGAGCTACAGCTACCTACTGCTAGTTCTTCACTTCGTCTGTTCCCTGAAATGCTTAGCACAGTGTAAGTGTGTTCTGCACCGCCTCCTGTGATGTCCAGCACAATTCACCCTGCTTGGCTTCCTCCCTTCCACGTCTTTCTCTTTCATTGCCTGACCCGTGCTTCCTGGGATGGCCTCTCCAGTAAACTTACTCTAGGATCTTTGTCTCCGTGTCTCTTTCCAGAAAAACCCACAGTCCAAAAATGAAAACATGGCTTACCTTGCCACTAAAAGATGAAACCATTAAGGCAGATGAGTGGGGAGAATACAAGTCTTTCTCCCAGAGTCAAGTGTTGGGCTCTGCCTCATTGGTGCCCACCTGTATTAGGGTTGTTTGTGTAGATGCCGGGACCCTTGTAGATGGTTCTGGCCCTACCTTACTCACATTGTCAAGGATCTTGGTCATGGGAAGCTTCAATGGTTTACTAGGAGGGAAGCTTGGGCTTGGCTGTGACCAGCTGGTGACGTGTCTGCCCCTCATTCTTACAGGCATTCGCCCCTACAAATGTGATGTGTGTTACAAAGCCTTCACACAGCGATGTTCCTTGGAGTCCCACCTGAAGAAGATCCACGGTGTGCAGCAGCAGTATGCCTACAAGCAGCGCCGGGACAAGCTTTATGTGTGTGAGGATTGTGGTTACACGGGCCCCACCCAGGAGGACCTGTACCTGCATGTGAACAGTGCCCATCCGGGTAGCACATTTCTCAAAAAGACTTCCAAAAAGTTGGCGGCCCTTCTGCAGAACAAGCTGACGTCCCCACTGCAGGAGAATTCCACCCTGAGTGAAGAGGAGGAAAAAAAGTGAAGAGAGAGAGAGAGAAAGTGGAGGAGAGACGCTCGGTGCCACGTTTACCCGGACTTTAGGTTCTGAGGTGTACCTCTCCTCTGCTCCATGGGTTCTTTTCAGTGACAAGTATTCAGTTCACCTCTTCTTTTGGGACATCAACAGTAAGATGCACTCCAAAGTTGTCGGTCATTCTGCCACAACAGGCCCTGTACCATAGGTCTGTTTTCGTGGTGGCTGAAATCACGTACGGGTTCTTGTGTGTGTGTGTGTGTGTGTGTGTGTGTGTGTGTGTGTGTGTGTGTGTGTGTGTGTGTGTTATGTGTATTTTTTTTTCTGATGGAATTTTCACACATGAATAGAGGGGTGTTCTTAAAGAGACCATCATCTTATGGTGCCTTGAAATGCTTCTCAAGCAAGGAAAATGTATATTCTTCTGAAAGAGTTTACAGAAACTATTTTAATAAATGAAATGTTCATGTGAAACTTCTCTTTAAAAAACAAAATAGTGTTGAGTTTCAGCTATCCTGTTGAGGGTTTATGTGACACTGGACTCCGTTACCCGGAGAGAGGTTGATGGTTCTGTCTTGGTGGAGAGGATTTAAGGAGGCAAATCTTGTCAGTTGGGTAGGACACATCATTGGTTGGTGGGATAAAACCAGTACTGAGAGGCTGGCTCTTGGATAGATGAGCCTTGAGGTGCAACACATCGTTCTCTGCTCTCGGTGAGTCTGGGGTCCTGTGGTCTTTGGCTTCACGAGCTAGGACTTGCTGGGTGAAGGGCCCTGCTTCCTCCCTGGAGACTGACCCTAGGAGAAGCATGTGACAAACCCTGGAGCGTGAGAAACTAGCCCAAGCATGAAGTACACCTGTTGAGGCATACTTGCTGGGAGGCTGGGCAGGGGACAGGCCTCCTTCAGGGTGCCAGACTGGGAATGCAGCAACCTTGAGCAATACCTCCCTCTCTCCTCACCTTGGAGCTCCATTCCTAAATGTAGGAGAGGTTAACAGTCGAGTCGACCTTTGGACACCAGAGGAAAAAGGGAAGCTGCAAGCTGAGTGGGTAAGGAGGTGGTTTCCATGGCCACTGGGCAGCAGGAAGGGCCCAGACCCTCCCTTGGGAAGCCCCTTAGCCAAGAAAGCCTTGCCAGCCGGTGTGACAGCCTACTTCCCCTGAATTGACCGGGACGAGATGATGATCAGACGCATGTCCTCCTTGTCTTTCATTGGCTAGTCCTGTCCCCAGACCCTGGCTGAGCTCCCTGGTCTAGGGGAACTTTTGAATGACATGGCCATTTTCTTATTTCCTCTCTCTGTACCTCCATCCTTCCCCTTCTTGCCCTCTCTCTTCACTTTCTTTTCCCTGAGTTCCACCTTCTCCCCCTTCTTCTCTTCTGTACTCTGAGGCAGGTATCATGCCAAGGCCTGGACACTTGAGATACATTACCGTTTCTCTTCCAACTCCGGCTTTGCTTCTGGAAGAGAGCTCTGTGGAGCACTAGTGATGTGCCAGGCACTAACCTGGGTGCCCCTCACCATGCAGGTGTCATCTGGAACATCTGTAAAACACCCCATGGGTCAGCAACCCTGTTTCTGTGAGTCAGTGTAGAGACCTTCAGATCTTCAGATCTGGTCAAAACGCCTCTTTCTCATTCTTCCTTCAAAGCAGAGGAAAGGTTTCAGGTTCAACTGGGACCATGCAGAGAAAGGCACAAGGTCAGAAGAGTGGCTTTGAAGGTCATTGCTCCTCCTGATGCCTGAGGATGCTCAGATCATCAGCCATCTGCAGATCCCGGGGTGTCTGTCCCGCCTTCCCTGAAGCACCAGGTGGGTGGGTTACAGCTTCAGAGCTACAGCTGAACAGCTATGGTCAAGGCATCAGCAGTGGCAGAGGCTCAACTTGGGACTTCATGTGGCCCAGGGTGCAGCCCTCACTCAGGGCTCCACCCTGACTTCAGAGGACAAACTGTTGCCACAGAGTGTGAAAGGCAGCTGACTTGCTTTCCCCCAGTTATGCAGGTAGTGATGTGACAAAATGAGCTGCTCTGGCTACAAGCGTGTGGCTGACTGCCTCTGGTGTCACACGGGTACTGTGAATAAGGGAATGCTCCCGTTAGGGCTAGTTTTTTTTATTAGACAGCTTGCTCAGTTGCAAGTGATGGAAACCCAGTTTAAAATGGCATTAGCAATAGTTTGCATACTTCTTCATGACCAAGAGCTGACAGGAAGCTGTCCTCAGAAAGACCTGCTGGAATCAGGGCTGAAAATCATAAGGTTCTGGGTCTCTGAGCCAGACACACTGTTTACCCTCTATTACCCACATAGTAGAGAATTGACTCCAACAAATTGTCCTTGAACCTCCATGTGTACACCATGGCACCTACACACCCTGCCCCTCTACAAGCAACATTTTTAAAGAGCTCAAGTTTCAGGGTGGCAGATATAATGCTCAAGTAACAGCACTGTCATCTTTCCATCTTTTCTGTGTTTTTAGAAATATGGCCTGTGCTGGTCTTGAATTTGTAATCCTGCCTAAGTCTCCCAAGCATCTAGGTAGTAATGTACCACCACTGCCCTCTGTCTTTGAGCTTCTTTGCCTCCTTTTGTGGCTCTGTAGAAGGTCAGGTGGTGCTGTGGGATGGTCTGTATGTCAAGTGTGTTGCTGATTGGTCAATAAATAAATCACTGATTGGCCAGTGGCCAGGCAGGAAGTGTAGGCGGGACAAGGAGGAGAATAAAGCTGGGAAGTGGAAGGCTGAGTCAGAGAGACACTGCCAGCCGCCACGATGAGAAACAGCATGTGAAGATGCCAGTAAGCCACGAGCCACGTGGCAAGGTATAGATTTATAAAATGGATTAAATTAAGCTGTAAGGAAAGTTAGCAAGAAGCCTGCCACGGCCATACAGTTTGTAACCAATATAGGTCTCTGTGTTTACTTGGTCGGGTCTGAGAGGCTGTGGGACTGGCAGGTGAGAGAGATTTGTCCTGACTGTGGGCCAGGCAGGAAAACTCTAGCTCCAAGGTGGAGCTCTGATAGCCATCCACAGCTCCAGACTTCGATCCCACCGGTACAGCAGCGTAGTGGACACTGTCTCTTTTTACCTGAGATCATGGTAAATTTGGTTCTGGGACCCATTTTGGATCAGCACTGTGCCCTGGGACATGTTACTCTCTTGGCCTAGACTTGAGGCACGTGCTCCCACTGCACCTAAATCAGGTGTAGTGAGCGGATTAGCTACAGTCCTAAGAAAGTGGCTCCCCAGCAGAAAACCAGGGTGATGGGACCCAAAGGGAAAACGGATGTTGGGCAGGTGTAATGGCTAAGATCAGACAGCTCGGGTTGGAGAGATGGCTCAGCAGTTAAGCACACTAGCTGCTCTTGCAGGAGCCTAGAGTTTGGTCCCTGGCACCCACAAAACTATCCTCCACCATTACCTATTTAAACACACACACACACACAATTTAAAAATAATCAAATTCTTTCTAAAAATCAGACAACTGTGTTACAAAGATGCCCAGTTAATTGTGTGGCATACCAGGGACCCCAATTTCTCTCCTTGCTTCACTCTGTCATGTCCTAGGGTGTTGCTAATACATGCTAGCTGACGTCAATATAACCGTGGGTGGCCATCTTGGACTTGGTTGTACAGGAAACTGATGCAGAGGCCAGTGTTCAGATTACAGGGATTGGGAGGTAATTCCAGGAAGCACCTGGGGTGTGTGTGCACTGGGCAAGGGTGCTAGGAAAGGAAGACAGTGTTGGTAAAGGACACAGAAGCTGAAAAGTTACTGCTAGGGGCAACTGGAGACCTAGGAGGCAGAAAGCACGCCTGGCTGCCCTCTCATGGGGTAGGTAGAGGAAACCCCATGAACTCCCCATCCATCATTGGTTGAGGTCTTCTGCCATTGAAGGTGTTTGTTTCTGGGCCCTTCCAACTTGTCCATGCTTGCACTGGCCAAGTATACTTGCTGTACCAGGAGCCCCTCTCTCCCCCAGCAGGAGAGCTGCAGCTTTCAGACCATAGACCAGACGCTGATGAACCACAGGAGAGAGATATCTGTGTCTGTACATGTCTGGAGGAGGTCTTTCATTGTGTGAGGGTACTTGCTGTACAAAGCATGTGACTTTTACACTCCTTTGTGGGGGATCCTTGGGGAGGATGCAGCTACATCAACCAAGGGTGGGATGTATAGCTTTCTTAACAAAGCTTCTATGTGACAAAGTGAGAGAATGGATTATGATGGGCGTCTTGTGGTCTTTATATGACAGGCAAGATCATCTCTCGACTTTTTCTTTTTTGAGCCTGACATGGTAGAACATATTTCTAGTTCCAGCCCTTGGAAAGCAGAGACAGGCAGATCTCTGTGAGTTCTAGGCCAGCCTGGTCTATATAATGAGTTCTAGGACAGTCAAGATTACATAGAGAGATCCCGTCTCAAAGAGGGGTGGCCACTGGAGAGATGGCTCAGTGGTTACAATCTCTAGCTGCTCTGCCAGAGGACCTGGTTTCAGCACCCACATGGCAGCTCACAACTGTCTGTAACTCCAGTTCCAGGGAATCCAATACCCTCAGACAGACACACATGCAGGCAAAACACTGATGTATATGAAATGAAAATAAATCATTAAAAATAGTTTTTTTAAATCATAGTTGAGTTTTTTTTTTTGGAAGTGTGTATGTCTAGGCCAGAGGTGAACCAGAGGCATTGTTTTTCAAGTGTCTTGTTTTTAAAGATACGGTCTTTCATTGGGACTTGGAGCTTTCTAATTATGCTAGGCTGGCCCTTAAGCTCTGGTGATCATCCACCTGTCTCTATTTCCCCAGTGACAGGATTTCAAGTAAATTCCAGCATGCCACATGGGAGCTGGGGATTGAACTCAGGTCCTCAGGCTTGTTCAACAGACAGGTAACTGACTGGGTTATCTCCCCAACTCTGTGTCTTCCTTACTTTTCTATTGCCCTGATAAGACACCAAGAACAAGGCAACTTACAGAATACAGAGTTTATTGGGCCTTACAGTTTCAGAGAGCGAGTCCATGACAATCATGGTCTGGAGCTTGGCGGCAGGCAGACAGGCAAGTATGAAGCTGGTTCAGTAGCTGTGAACTTACATCCTTATACACAAGTAAGAGGCAGAGAGAGAGAGAGAGAGAGAGAGAGAGAGAGAGAGGGAAATGACAAAGTATCATGGGCTTTTGAACCCTCAAAACCCATATCCAATGACCCACTTCTTCCAACAAGGCCAGGACCACTAATCCTTGTCAAACTGTTCCATCAACTGGGGACCAAGCATTTCAATATTTGACCCTGTGTAGCCATTCTCATTCAAACCACCCACCCCCTTTCATTTTTTTTTTAAATATAAAATCTCGTGTGTACGGTGTTTTGTCTGCATGTATGTCTGTGCACTGCTTGCATGCCTGGTACCAACAGAGACCAGAAGAGGGCATTGAATCCCCTGGAACTGGAGTTGCAGTTATGAGCCGCCATGTGGGTGTTGAGAATGGAATCCAGGTCCTCTGCAAGAGGAACAAGTGCTCTTAATCACCAAGCCATCTCTCCAGCCCCTCAGCTTTATTTTCAGTAATTTATTTTGATTTGATGTGTATGAACGCTATTCCAGGCCTCTGCAAGAGGAACAAGTTCTTTTAACCACTGAGTGCTTTTGAGGCAGGGTCTCATGTAGCCCAGGGTGGCCTTGAATTCCTATTCCTCCAGCCTCGGGCTCCCAATTGCTGGGGTTACAAGCATGCACCCACCATGTTCAACTTGGATGTCCACTCTCAACTTTCTGACCCCAACCTCATCCCAACCCTGCTAGCCAGGCCTGGCCTCCTCAGCCAGTTGTCAGGCAATTCAGCCAGTGTGTCCAGGCTTGATTTGGGGACTAGTCCAAGTGGTGACGGCTCTGAAGCCTTGGGTCTGTTGGTGGCGGGGACTGGACTCGTGAGTGTCTGACATGCTTTGAGTCTGTTGAGCAGTGCTGGCTTTGGGTTAGTGTGCGGTCAGCACAGGGAAGGAATGCTGGCTCATGTTGATTTTAGGCAGCTGTCCTCCTGGGTGTTCATTTTGGAGAAAGGAATCTAACTCCTGGGTCCAGCAGTGTGACTCATTTTATGAATGTCATAGACTGGCTCCTAGAAGCACAGGATAATACAGGGCTTCTGGGACAGGTGACTTACTGAAGGATGCTATGGGAGGAACCAATAAGGAAGTGAGGGTAACAAGACCTGAAGAGGCAGAAACAAAAGATGAAGATCTGGGTTCCTCAGAAATCCAGCTACAGTCCCATAGAAGGGGTCCTGGAGTGTGAACGACACCTAGAAGTGCCACCTGGAGCAAGGGGCCAGTTATCCATGTGACCGACACAGAGGGCATGACCTCTGGGCCTTTTCAGTAACAGCAGCTGTGAGCTCTTGTAACCAATGTGGTTCACACAGAGGTGTCCAGGGTGGGACAATGGGACCAGACTGATGGATTCTCAGAGCTTAAAAAAAAAAAAAAAAAAAAAACATGGCTGAAGTCCACAGGTTCTGACCCTACTCAGAATGCACACATTCTGATAAAGGACCTACTTTTAGAATTAAAGGATATCAGTTATTACAAATTATGTGGCATTCAAAGAAGTTGTTTTTAAAATATTTATAATAATATATGTAGAGAAATGTGGTGCCTCCAAATTTGTCCCTCATCTGCCCAGGCTCTCTTCCATAGTTAGCCAATGTTTTCTCCCCTACAAGACAGAGGATTTTATTTTACAAGATAGATGGAACTCTAATAGGATGTAAATACTATAGGCTTTTTGTATAACTTTTCTCTGTTTTTTGGCAAACATTAATGTGTATATTTTTTTAAAAAAAATTTTATTCATGTGTGTGTGTGTATGTGTGTATCACATGTGTGCAGGTGCCTGAAGAGGCCAGAAGAGGGTGTTGGATCCCCTGGAGCTGGAGTGAGCCAGCTGATATGTGTGTTGGGAATCCAACTTGGGTCCTGTGCAAAAGCAGTACACATTCTTAACGGCTGTGCCACCTCTCCAACCTCAGAATTCTTCTTCCAACAGTGCATACCTGGGCCAGCAAGATGGCTCAGCGTGTGAAGGCTCTCGCACCAAATCTGGTTAACTGAGCTCGGTCCCTGGTACCCACGTGGTAAGAGAAGAGGACTGACTCCCTCAAGTTGTTCTCTGACCCTCACAGGCATGGCGTGGCATGTGCACACACACACACACACACACACACACACACACACACACACTCCAATGAATGAATGACTATAATAAAATTTAAACCCTGTCTTTGTTGTGTGGATGCACCATACTTTAGATTATCAGTTTTCCAGTGATAGACACTTATGAGGCTTCCAATGTTTTGCTACTATGTAGAGAATACGACAGTGAGTAACTTTATATATGTGTCATTTCACATAAATGCAATCCTGTCTTTGGGATAAATTCCAGAAATGCAATTGTCAGTGTTCATAGTTTCATACATTAAGGGCAATTTGTAGTTCCCTTTTCTGTGAACTGCTTGAATGTCTGTTTTCCACAGGTTATTAGTCTGTTTTTTCTGCCTTCTCCACTTCCATATCCTGTGCTGTGTGGATGGAACCCAGGACCTTGCCTACAATAGACAAACACTACCACGATGCTACACCCTTAGCCTCTCCACTGAACTTCTAGGAATTGTACAGATCTTGTTTAAAAAAAATGTGTATGTATGTATGTGTGTGTGTGTATATGTCTGTGTCTGTGTGTATGTGTATGTGTGTGTATGTTTATATAAAGAAGGCTGGCCCTTGGTGGGGTAAGTTGCTGGGTGTTCTAACATTGGTGGATAGGGCTCAATTACCCTACAAGGTGATGGTGCTAGTCTGCAGTTGGTGAGTGTACCCATGTCCTTGCCACTGTGCCAAC